GTTCTGACCAGTCTTAGTATCTCTTCATCCCAAGCCTTTCCCCACTTCCCAATCTGAGCACTGCTTCTTTCTAGCAGGGCTGTTCTGCTGACCCACCATGATCCAGGCTGTACTGCTCCTTTGCTGCATCTTACTGTCCCCATTGGCTGTCTTTCCAAGAAATACTCAGAAGGGGTTCTGACTTTCCAGCTGTTTTTCATAGAAACTGGGCATCCTCTGAACGTGCTCTCCAACCAGATCCCTCTCCCAGATTCCAAGACCTGCCAGGTTCTCTTATGTACGGCCCCATCCTTAGCCCCTCCACTTGAGTACCTATCCAACTTAGCTCTGGAGGTGGCCCAGGAGGAGGATGTCGGCCCAGCTGAGGCCCACATTCTGTAGCTTCAGCTTGTTAAGATGGGAGGAAAAGACACCACTGAAACCCTCATCTATGAGAGAGAGCAAAAAGCACAATGAGGAAGAAGGCATTGGCAATGCTAAAGTCATTCTGAGGGATCTTGGGGGACCCACAGGGAGGCTTGGATAAATCCAAAACTCAGCTACTCGCCCTGAGGAATGTATTAATGATGGCAAATATGCCCACTGGGGTGGCTGGTCTGCCAGTTAGCTTGGATGGTGATTGAGTTTGCTGAGAAGCCATCCCCCATGATGCTGGTGACACAGTTCAGAGCTTTTGCTATCAACATCCCCTAGAACTGCAGGTATGAGTCTTGGGAACATGTTGGAGAATTAGGTAAAAAGCTGAAGACATCCCCAAGTTAAGAGCCTCTCAGTGCCTATGGATGATGACAATATAATTTATCAAATGTTCCACAGTTATTCTGAAGTGCTTTATGGGGAAATTGATACAGGAACTTGTCCAGATTCTTTACTTCAGATATTCAGTGCCACCTAGGTGACAAGTCTGCTTTCCCAGGACTACTTTCAAGGATGGGACACAGTAAGTAGGCAGAAATGTTGGACACCACTTAGGATAGGTATATGCTCTTTATTTCATCCCAGTGCTAAAAGACACAGGTGACTGGTGTTAGCCTTGCTTTTCTCCACTCAGTAGCTCTCAGTCCTTATTTCACATTCCATTTTCCATTTTTTCTTTCAGTTATCATATACTGTACCTGTAATATGTCTAAGCATGAGAAACATTTTAACTTTCTTTTTCTGTTTTTATAATTTTTATTGACGTATAGTTGATTTACAATGTTGTTAGTTTCAGGTGTACAGCAAACTGATTCAGTTATACATATAGCCGTTTTTAGATTCTTTTCCATTGTAGGTTATTAAAATTTCTAATCATCTTATTTCTACTCTGTGCCAGCTAAGCTAATAGTCTCTTACCAGCTCTTATCAAACTCCACTCCACCCTTTCCTACTACCCTCTCTTTAAAAGTTCTCATTCTTCAAAGTCATTACAAAAAATCATCAGTTATGAAAAGTAAACACAGGACTCAATGGTTCCTAACACTTTTTTTCCTGAACTTTGTCAACGTGCTGTAGAGCGCAAAGTGTTACAAAGATCAAATGACTTAGAAATTATTCTTTTGAAATCTCGAATTGCTTCTAGGAGGTATATGATTTCAATCCTCCAAATGAATTTCCAGGCACCATTGAAGCTGACTTGCCCTAATGAAGTGTTAAAAACTAAATAGATAGTTTGCTTACACTTCTCTATGCCCATTTTGTTTCTTTGTTCGTTTGTTTTTCTATTCTCATCTTTTAAAAAATGATAATTTTAATCTTTGGAATGCACACAAAGAAACTTCATCATATTCTTTCTATTCTCCAGTCCCTCATATTTCCCTCCACATGTTGAAAAGTGTGCTATTGAAAACATTAGCTAGATAGAAAGACAGAGAAATAGATACATAGATAGACAGATTGATTTTTTTATTGATAATTACATTTATAATTCAAGGAAACTTCAAATGTTCAGAACATTTACAATCTGATGAAAGCTTAAAGACACTTATTGTTAACTAATAAAAATGGCTAAGCAATGATATCACAAATCTGTGATCCATTATTATATCCATTAGAATGACTGGATTAGTAAAAGAAACAAGTGGAAGTTGGGTGGATTATACTGGAGCTCAATCTCTCTCAGCATAGAGAACAGCTGATGGATAAACAATTGTTATCCACAATGGATGAGTCCAGCAGATTCTTATGGGCTGCATAACGTTATTTCTATCTTTGGAAAGGGAAGTTAAAAATAAGGCCAAAAAAATAAATAAATAAGGCCAAAACTACAGAATAGAAACACAAAGAAGCATTTTAACTTTTTTCTCATTCATCTACCTTGTACTAAATCTCCAATGAGACACTGAAGCTTGCTAATTTAATTTTTAAACTGAAAAAAGAATCATAGACATCTAACCTCTTCTGATTCTGGGTTTCCCAGCTTCTATCATGAGCTAGAGTGTGAAAGTGACAGGGACTGGTAGGAAATGCCAAAGAACAGAGTTTTTAGGTATTGAGATCCAGTGTGTGACAAGGGGACAAGGTTTGAGAAGCCAGTACAAATGGACAAATATTTGCAGAGATTACATCTCTTACTGATAATAGGGGAAAGCCAATAGCTACTTTCTTCACCCGACAGAGGAGTAGGCAGAACAGGATCGAGGAGCAACCAAATCTATCAAAGCCGTCTTACTTCTTAATCACCAGACTTTGTGGTAATTTGGGGCTCCCTATTAAATGGGTGGAAATCAGGCAGAGGAAGACCTGAAGATGGAGAAGGCCAAGAGGGAACAATTGGGTTGCATTTCCTGTTTCTCAGTTCTTTAGCTAAAAAGAACAGAAGTTTGGAGGTGATAGATGAGGTTCTCCCTGAGTCCTGGGCTCCTTTTGGACCACAGCCCTTACGGAAACGGTTTGTATGTTTCTGATTTCTCCCGTCTCCAGTGCACTCTGCTCTGGACATGCGTGGTCTCAGACTCATCATGATACCAGCTGAGCTACTTGTTTGCTGCTTCCTGCTGCACGCTGTGGATGCCATTTCATATGGAAACCAGACAAACGTCTTGGTGCATCTTCCCTCATCCTTGGGATCCTGGCTACCTTCCTCAGCCCCATTGTCTTGCCGGACGCTGCTCCCCAAATCCCTGCCTGGCTTCACCCACATGGCCCTTCTCCCCAAGTTCCTGGTAGGCCTGCCCCTGGTGATTGCCTTGGAGAAAGCTGGCTGTCAAGCTGATGTACGGGTCCTGCAGCTTCAGCTCTACCGCCAGGGGAGTGTAAAGGCTACACAGATCCTCATCAGACATCTTCAAGAGCTCGAGAAAAGCAGAAGCACAGGGACGGGAGTGTCAGTGGACGCCCTGGCCTCTGCTCTGCAGCTGTTGGCCAGGGAGCACCCAGACCCAGAGAGGGCCCGACGATCCCTCTCCATCAAGGACTGCGAGCAGGAGCAGGAGCAGAGAGTGCACGATGTAGTCCAGCTGTTGCCAGGAGTGGGAACCTTCTACAACCTGGGCACAGCATTGTATTATGCTGTTCAGAACTGCTCAGACAAGGCCAAGGAACGAGGCCGAGACGGGGTCATAGATCTGGGTTATGAACTTCTGATGGCCATGGCTGGAGTGTCAGGGGGGCCCACGGGAGTAATGATCAGTACTGCACTTAAACCTATAGTGAAGGCTGGGGTTCAGAAGGTGATCCAGTATTATAATGAGAGAGAGGTGAACAGCCCTCCACCAGAGACCAGCAAGGAGGTCTTGGGGGGCACCTCAAATTGAGTCACCTGGAAGAAACAACTACCATGGCCCCTTTGGTATCAGTAGTAAGTTCAGTTCCTTACTGGCAGTGGAACTTACTCTATGACTATGGCTTAGATCCTAGGGATGGGAATACTACTGAGATATAAAAGAAGGTGGTACGGAATTCCTTGGCTGTCCAGTGGTTAGAACTCCACTCTTTCACTGCCAAAGGGGCCAGGTTCAATCCCTGGTCGGGGAACTAAGATCCCCGTAAGCTGCGCAGCAATCAATCAATCAAACAATCAATCAATTATAAAAGAAGGTGGTGGGACTTCCCTGGCGGCCCAGTGGTTAAGAATCCACACTTCCACTGCAGGGGGTGCGGGTTTGACCCCTGGTGGGGAAACTAAGATCCTGCATGCCAGCACAGTGCAGCCAAAAAAAAAAAAAAAAAAGGTGGTAAACATGTTGACTAGATCTAATATTCTGACAAGTTGTACGTGTGTGTTCAAAATCCAAATCTCTGATTTTTTTTATCAAGGAGGAAGGCAGTACTGTAAAATGTAGAAATTTTAAAGTTTTGAAATTTTTTAATTTAAAAAAATTTTAAAGTTTGGAATCGGAGGATTTGGCTTTGAATCCAGGCTCCACTTGTCAGAGCTTCAGCGACCATTGACTAGTACCTTCTTTCTCCAAACTCAGTTTTTTAAATTTCTAAAGAATAGTGATTTGCATCTCAATGGGTTTCGTGGAAATTAAAAACGGTACGTTGTCCTAATGCTTAGCACGGTACCAACAATAAATAGGCTTTTGTTGTTTTTGTTGTTATTACTTAAGCCCTCCCCTTCCTGTCCCAATATGTCGAAATTCCGCCTCGCTTGTTAGCTCAGCGCCTCCAAGGACCTGAGCCAGTCTCGGTTCCGCTGCATAAGTGCGGGTTCTGGGAAATCAGCTGTTTCAGTCCTGAGCTCTTCTGTTCATTGGATTCCTCCCTCCGCAGATACGGGGCAGGGCTTACTTGAGCTTTCCTACCAATCGCTGCAGTTAGAGGTGTGGTTTCGGCTCCGCTTGTCCCGCCTCGCGGAGAAGGAGGAGTTGTGGTGGCGCCAATGAATTCACAGCCTGGAGAAGAGGTTGGCTGAATGGCAGCCAGTGTCGGGGCGCCTCTATGGGAATGGCGAGCTCCGGGGTTCAGCCGCTCACTCAAGCCTGTGGCAAGGGGGCGGGTTCGAGAGGCGGGCCGAAGCCGAGGGCGGCGCGGGAGGCCCTGGTGCCAGAGCTCTGTCTGGGGACCGGAAGCCTGGACCACAGCTACTGGAGGGAGCGGGGGCTGAGACTCTAACCAGGTACCGGCCCTGAGAAGGTGCGTGGGGGTGTGGGTGGAGGCGCGAGTTTCTCCCTGAGAGGGCAGGCGGGCCCTGGGGGGGTACGCCCCGGCGGGGTCAGACTCTGTCCCCAGGTTGAAACAGGAGCTGTCGCCTCCTTCATCCTCCTGTCCAACCTAGGTCCCCAACCGTAACGCACCCCGCCCTCCAGAAACACCCCTGCAACTTTCAAGACCCGAAACCTGGCATTGTTGCATTGATTGGTTCAGTGTCTTGGCCAACGCTTTTACCTTCCGATCTGTTATTTTTGATTCTTACCAAAAAAAAGAAAGAAAAAAATAGAGTTCTTTTCAGAAAAGCTTATTGAGCACAAAATACGCTCCTAAAAGAGTGTTGGATAACTGGAGAAAAAAGAGTTTACAGCCCTTAACCTCCGTGCTTGCAATCTATTTAAGAAGGCCAGGTTTTTTGGTTTTGTTTTTCATATTTAAACCTCAGGGTTTACTTGCCGCCTTGCTTTATTAATACCAGCCAATTAGTTCCTTAGGAACTGGGGCCTCGTCGTTTGTTTTTAAAAAGCAATACAAGTACATAGTGTAAAAAGTCAAGCACTACTAAAGGGTTAAAGTGAAAAGTAGGAGCCCTTGCCCAATTTTTTACTTCCCTTGTTCCTACTTCCCAGAGGTAGAAAGGCAGCTCATGATTATTTGTACTGGTGGAAAAGAATCTTTCCCACCCCAAGCATTTGATTTGTAATAAAATCACGTGACCTTTTTTTAGACCACAGAAGTGGGTGTTAATTCTTTTTTGTTAGGCTCAGGCTGCAAGAAGTTTTGATTTCCTAAACAGACAGATGGCAGTGGGCGGGGAAAGGTAGGGAGAAGGGCTCCACCCAGCCTGCTTGGTGGCAGGCAAAAACAAGTGTTGAGTGAATTTTCTCACAAACTTAATAATCCACATGAAGAATCAGAGATTGACAGAAGTCATAAAAGTGTCACAATCTTAGGGATTGAGTGACCCCTTACACAGTATTTAAGTATCTTAAACATCTTCTAGAGAATGAAGCTCCTCTTTCCAACATGGAGAGCAGTTTATCTCCAAGGAGGTTCAGCCTCTGATAAAGCGTTGGGGCCAGCCGGGATAATGCTGAAATAAATACTTAAGACTGGGACTTCCCTGGTGGTCTTGTGGTTAAGACTCCACGCTTCCACTGCAGTGGGTTCAATCCCTGGTGGGGGAACTAAAATCCTGCATGCCGTGCGGCGTGGCCAAAAATAAATAAATAATTTAAAAAACACTTTTTTTTAAATACTTAAGACTGGGACTTCCCTGGTGGTCTTGTGGTTAAGACTCCACGCTTCCACTGCAGTGGGTTCAATCCCTGGTGGGGGAACTAAAATCCTGCATGCCGTGCGGCGTGGCCAAAAATAAATAAATAATTTAAAAAACACTTTTTTTTAAATACTTAAGACTGGGACTTCCCTGGTGGTCTTGTGGTTAAGACTCCACGCTTCCACTGCAGTGGGTTCAATCCCTGGTGGGGGAACTAAAATCCTGCATGCCGTGCGGCGTGGCCAAAAATAAATAAATAATTTAAAAAACACTTTTTTTTAAATACTTAAGACTGGGACTTCCCTGGTGGTCTTGTGGTTAAGACTCCACGCTTCCACTGCAGTGGGTTCAATCCCTGGTGGGGGAACTAAAATCCTGCATGCCGTGCGGCGTGGCCAAAAATAAATAAATAATTTAAAAAACACTTTTTTTTAAATACTTAAGACTGACCTTTAAATGCTCCAGCATAAGTGAATACAAACACAAACAAATAAATTTAAAATAAATTCATCGGGGGAGATAGATGAAATGAGATTGAGCAAGTATCATACATGTTTGTTGAAGCTGGATGATGGGTACATGGATGATCCTTGTACTACTCACTGTACTTTGTTGTGTGTTTGAAAATTACCATTGAAACAAAAAGGCCTACATATTGGAGCTCTTAAATGGTACTCCCTGGAAGAATATACACCAAACTGATAATATTGGTTACTTCTGGAGAGGAGGAAAAGGGACTAAGATTGGGAGTGGAGTCAATCTAGACTTTACTTTTTTTTCTGTATTTTTTCTTACCTGTATAATTAAACATTTTTTTTAATTTGTAATAATAAACAATCACGAGACTGTGGATGGTTTAGTCCAGCAAAATTTCCAATTGGGAACCTGCATCCTTCAGGCTCAGACCCCAAATGGCGCAGTGGGAGATGCTGCAGAATCTTGACAGCCCATTTCAGGATCAGCTGCACCAGCTCTATTCAAATAGCCTCCTGCCGGTGGACATTCGACAGTACTTGTCTGTCTGGATTGAAGATCAGAACTGGTGAGGCCTTCAGGAAGTTGGGGGGATGAGGAAAATGATTTCTTTCTTCTGAGCCCCCAGGATCCTGGAGACACCAAGGGCAGGAAGGGGTTGGAAGGCCTCAAGATGGTAGCACCCCTGCAGAGATACTAATCCTTGTCTTTCCTGGTCCCTAGGCAGGAAGCTGCACTGGGCAATGATGAGGCCAAGGCTAATATGCTATTCTTCCACTTCTTGGACCAACTGAACTATGAGTGTAGCCGCTGCAGCCAGGACCCTGAGTGTTTGTTGCTACAGCACAACTTGCGAAAATTCTATCGGGACATTCAGGTGCTTGGAGGAGCCAGGAATAACAAAGTAGGAATGGCAGCTGAGTGCAGAGGAGTACGTTTTAGGGTATGGAACATGGAACAGGACCTGGAGGTTCAAAGGACAGGGGAAGATCTGGGGAAAATGGGACAGAGTCTGGACTTGGGAGATCACTGGCAGAGAGAAGGACATAGTCTAGATGACCTATTTGGAAAGAGGCTAGGGTTTGGGGGACCAGTGGTGAAAAGGGGTAGGGCTTGGGACCCTGAAGAAGGGGAGAATCCTGACGTCACTGGTGGGGAGGGCCTGAGGTGGTAGTTCATTGATGGCAGTTAAGTTAAATCAGTCCTTTCTCGTTTCCTACTGCAGGCCTTTCCCCAGGGTGCTACCCAATTGGCTGAGATGATCTTTAATCTCCTTCTGGAAGAAAAAAGAATTCTGACCCAGGCTCAGAGGGCTCAGTCGGTGAGAACAATTTGGTGGTGATGTTGAAAGCTCCTGGTGTAGAGAGGGATCCTGCAAAGGACTCAGCAAATTTGCCTCAGAACAAGATCCCTCCACATCCTGTGGTTTCATTTCAGGCCTGGATTTCAGGGATGAAAGGTCAGAGTTGAAATGTGCTCAGAGCCTCTTATTTCAGGAGCAAGGAGAACCAGCCCTTGCAGCACCTGGGGAGAGCCAGCAGCCTGAGATTGAATCCCGGATCCTGGAATTAAAGGCTATGATGGAGGTTGGTAGATGTGGCAAGAGCCAGGGTGGGCAGGAGACTCAGCCTGCCTCCTCTCACAGAAGCAGCCTCATCAGGGTCTCATCTCCTCTGCAGAAGCTGGTGAAATCCATCAGCCAACTGAAAGACCAGCAGGATGTCTTCTGCTTCCGATATAAGATCCAGACCTCAGGTAGAAAGCACATTGAGGGGTGGGAGAAAGATGCCTACTGGGAGGCCAAGGGTAGAATAGAGCAGAAGGGGAAAGCCCCAGTAAGCAATAATCACCTTCGGCTGCATCTTGCTGGTTACAGTCCTGCTGCCATTGCAAAGCTGGAGGTGTCAGGGTATGTTGTAGAGGTCAGGCTGGAGGTGTAGCTGAGGGACAGCTAGTGAATGTTGGAGGGGATGCTTGGGAAACTGCCTTAGCAGATTGAGTGGGCTTCTGGTTCTAGCAAGACCATTCAGAATTTGCATGAGGGCCCAGAGGTACCTGTGCTTTGGTTGGTTCCCCTTCTTCTCCCTTCAGAACTCCCCACTCCTGACTCTGGCTGAGGTCTGGGCTGGGAAGGAGAGGGGGAGGAACCCTAGGTCTGAGCATTTGTCTCACTCCTGCTCCTGCTGTCCAGCAAGGACACCCTCTTTGGACCCTCATCAGACCAGACAGCAGGACATTCTGCAGGAAACGCTCAATGAACTGGACAGAAGGAGAAAGGTGGGTGGCAGAGGACAGAGGGAGTGGGCAGCAGGGAACTGGGGAAAATGAGGCATCGGGAGCCTTGGCCTCCTAGCCTTGGCTTCTTTGTCTCTTCATCCCTGGTTGAATGGTGGAGGGTGATGGTGAGAGGCTCTCAGCACTCACTTTATGTCTTTCATAGGAGGTGCTAGATGCCTCCAAAGCACTGCTAGGCCGATTAACTACCCTAATTGAGCTACTGCTGCCCAAGTTGGAGGAGTGGAAAGTTCAGCAGCAGAAAGCCTGCATTGGAGGCCCCCCGGATGGAGGGTTGGAGCAGTTGGAGAAGTGGTGAGAGGCACCTCCCCACCCTCGTGCTCACCTGGCCCTAGTCCTAACTACCCACTGTGCTTTGTAGGTTATAATGCCCTGTGTATGACAAGAGATATAGCCCTCCTTAATCTCTGCTCCCAGAATGATCCCAGCTCCCTTGTCTGACTGCAGCTAAGCTCTGCTCTTCATTCTCACCACTCAGGGAGCCCAGAGCCCAGTCTTTGCTTTGGGGAAAGTAATGAATTGATCTACAATCCGATTTCTCCCTCCTGCTTAATCGTCCGAGAAATATCGTTTTACCTTTTTTTTAGTGCAATGAATATAATGCCAAAAAAATAATTACCAGTTACCTTAATATTCAGATGTAGCTACTACAATATTATTAAACAAAAATTGAATCATACTGTTCATACTATTTTGAGACCTGTGGGTTTGTTTGTTTTTTTTAACTTAGCAGTATATCATATTTACCCATGCCCATGATACTTTTATTTTTTGCATCTTTTGGCCATGCCACACAGCATATTGGATGTGGGATCGTTCCCCAACTAGGGATCAAACCCGCACCCCCTACAGTGGAAGGATGGAGTCTTAACCACTGGACCATCACGGAAGTCCCTACGCATGATACTTTTTTTTTTTTTCTTTTTTTTGGCTGTATTGGGTCTTCGTTGCTGTGTGCGGGCCTTCTCTAGTTGCGGTGAGCGGAGGCTACTCTTCATTGTGGTGCACAGGCTTCTCATTGCGGTGGCTTCTCTTGTTGCGGAGCACGGGCTCTAGGCACGCGGACTTCAGTAGTTGTGGCATGTGGGCTCAGTAGTTGTGGCTCTTGGGCTCTAGAACGCAGGCTCAGTAGTTGTGGCGCACAGGCTTGGTTGCTCCGCGGCATGTGGGATCTTCCCGGACCAGGGCTTGAACCTGTGTCCCCTGCATTGGCAGGCGGATTCTTAACCACTGCGCCACCAGGGAAGCCCTAAACAAATTTCTTTATTTGTTTTCCAGTAAACTCCTTATTTCATATTAATTTTATTGTGATGTAGAAAAAAATAACTAATGTGTCCTTCAACATATTTGAAAAATACCTATTATTTAGATATTTTGTCATGAGAAAATTTATTAAAATTTAAACTATTAAAAATATACCATGGGGCGGGCACCCATGGAATGAACTGGGAGACTGGGATTGACATATATACACTACTGATACTATATATAAAATAGATAACTAATGAGAACCTACTGTATAGCACAGGGAACTCTACTCAGTGCTCTGTGGTGACCTAAATGGAAAGGAAATCCAAAAAAGAGGGAATATATGTATACATGTAGCTGATTCACTTTGCTGTACAGCAGAAAGTAACACAACATTTGTAAAGCAACCATTCTCCAATAAAAATTAATATAAAAAAATAAAAATATACCACTGTTCAGATAAATTGAAAACAGATATATAGGGCTTAGGGTACAGGATAAGTGTTTACATTACAGTTGCACATGTATTCATCATTTTGTACAGGGGTTGGCAAATTATGGCCTGTGAGTGATTTCTTGCTATTTTAAACAGTGCTGCAGTAAATAACCTCATAGATCCATCTTTATTTACATCTCCAGTTATTTCTGTAATGTAAGTTATCAGAAGTGATATTCCTGGGTTAAAGTATATATTGGATTGGCCAGAAAGTTCGCTCGGTTAGTGAATGCATTGTTCGATAAAATTCTTGGTGAAAATGAAAAATGTGTTTTTTGTTTTTACTTAAAACTGAACGAATTTTTTGGCCAACCCAATACCTTTTCTTGGTGGTGGTGGTGCTGTTATTGTGTTTTTCTTTTGTTTCATTGTTTTTAATACAAAGAGCTTTATTTCTTTTTCTGATTGTAAATATAAAATATACTAATAGGAAAAATTTCAGAAAACTTAAAAGAGAAAAAAAGTAAAACTTACCTATGTGCGTAATCTGATCGTTCAGAGGTAACCACTGTTAATGCTTTTTTTAAAAAATTGTTGATGTGGACCATTTTTAAAGTCTTGATTGAATTTGTTACAATATTGCTTCTAAGTTTTGGTTTTTTTGGGCGTGAGGCATGTGGGATCTTAGCTCCCCGACCAGGAATCGAACCCACACCCCCTGCATTGGAAGGTGAAGTCTTAACCATTGGACCACCAGGGAAGTCCCCTGTTAATGCTTTTGAATACATTTTTCCAGATTTTCCCTGTACATATTCACAAATATACATCTATTTTAAACAGAACTCAGATTATATCATATATATACTATCTTGTAATTTTTTTAATTTAATGTTTTTTTTGTTTCTTTGTTTTTTTTTGTGGTACGCGGGCCTCTCACTGTGGTGGCCTCTCCCGTTGCGGAGCACAGGCTCCGGACGCGCAGGCTCAGCGGCCATGGCTCACGGGCCCAGCCGCTCCACAGCATGTGGGATCTTCCCGGACCGGGGCACAAACCCGTGTCCCCTGCATCGGCAGGCGGACTCTCAACAACTGCACCACCAGGGAAGCCCCTAATTTAATGTTTTTGAAAATTTTTTCTTGTTAAAAATTTGTGTCTATATCATTATTTTTAATGGTTGCATAGTATTCCATGATGTCAATATGCCATAATTTATATACCCAATACCAGTTGTTTCTAATTTTTCTATTACAGAAAACAAAGCTATGAACTATGAACATCTATCTTTGTCCATTTGTTTGTCTGATTATTTCCTTAGGATATATCTTAGAAATGGAATACTGTAAAATGTATATACACTTTTGAAGCTTTTAATTAATTAATTTATTTATTTTTAGAGAAACATGCACTTACTTTTTTTTTTTTTAATTAATTAATTTATTTAATTTTTGGCTGCATTGGGTCTTCGTTTCTGTGTGAGGGCTTTCTCTAGTTGCAGCCAGCGGGGGCCACTTTTCATCGCAGTGCGTGGGCCTCTCACTGTCCCGACCTCTCTTGTTGCGGAGCACAGGCTCCAGACGCGCAGGCTCAGTAGCTGTGGGTCACGGGCCCAGTTGCTCCGTGGCATGTGGGATCTTCCCAGACGAGGGCTTGAACCTGTGTCCCCTGCATTGGCAGGTGGATTCTTAACCACTGCGCCACCAGGGAAGCCCTGTTTTTATTTTTTATATATATATTTTGGCCACACCACGCAGCATGTGGGATCTTAGTTCCCTGACTAGGGATTGAACCCGCGCCCCTTGCGTTGGAAGCGTGGAGTCTTAACCACTGGACCACCAGGGAAGTACCCTGAAGCTTTTTAAAAAAAATAGTTCCAAACTGCTATCCCAATCTGTTTGCTCTTATGTAGTGGATAATTGTTTTCCTGTTACCATATTGCCTATTATTATTATTTCTTATTATATAGACAGTAAAACACATACAACTTCATCCCTTACTAGTTTTATGACCTTGAGCAAGTCACTTTAATCTTTCTGTGCCTCAGCTTTACCATCTGTAAAATAGGGATAATAACAGTACCTACCTCATAGGGTTGTTGTAAAAATTAACTCTATGCATGAAGATGTGTGAAGCACTTAGAATAAAAAGTACATATCAAGCGTCATGTGAAAGTTAGCTTTATTATGTTAATAAATCTTTTATCAATTTTATATGTGAAAGTGGCTTTGATATTCATTCCTTAGATTATGAACAAAGTTGAAAAATCTTTCACATGCTTCCTGGATTCTTTTTTGTCCCAATCAGTTTCTGACTTTCCACATAGTTAAAGGGGAGCTCTTGGAGCCTGTTTGGGGATTCCAGGAAACTGATGGATTCTTTCTCCCTTGGATTCTGTCACCCAGGTTCACAGCTGGATCAAAGCTGTTGTTTCATCTGCGGCAGCTGCTGAAGGAGCTAAAGGGATTGAGTCACATGGTCACCTATCAGGGGGACCCTCTGATCGAAGGGGTGGATCTGCGGAAGGCCCAGGTCACAGAGCTGCTACATCGCCTGCTCCACAGGTCTAGAGGCCAGGGAGGGACCTCGAGGGAGGCCAGAGGGAAGGGACAAGGGGAGCCATTCTTACAGATACTGACCTCTATATATTCTCTCCACATCTCCCCAGAGCCTTTGTAGTAGAAACCCAGCCCTGCATGCCCCAAACTCCCCATCGACCCCTCATCCTCAAGACTGGGAGCAAGTTCACCGTCCGAACAAGGTTGGCATTTCAGAACTCATTCCTACTTCCTTTTACCAGCCCTGGCACTGGTGCTTTCTGGTTTTACAAATCTTCCCACTCTTGGCTGTTTTGTCTCTCTTTTCCCCTCAATCTCCTTACCTCTTCTAATCTCTTCCCTTGTTTTTTTCAAACATCTGGTCTATCCAGGAGATTGAAGTTGACCACTTTCCCCCATCTCCCTCCCTCCCTTGCAGGCTGCTGGTGAGACTCCAGGAAGGCAATGAGTCACTGACTGCAGAAGTCTCCATTGATAGGTAAGTTGGAGCAGGTGAAGGGTGGGACCAAGGGGTGGCCAGGAAGTGGGGTGGTGGGGTGGAGGAGGCACCTACTCTTTACAACAGGGCCCTGGGGCTGTGTTCTTTTCCCTTCCATTCCTATCTCATAGAAATAGCTCTTCTCTTTTGTTGAGTGCTTACTGTGTGACATGTAGCTTGTCAATTACCCAATTTAAAATTGTCACGGGGGCTTCCCTGGTGGCGCAGTGGTTGAGAGTCCGCCTGCCGACGCAGGGGACACGGGTTCGTGCCCCGGTCCGGGAAGATCCCACATGCCGTGGAGCGGCTGGGCCCGTGAGCCATGGCCGCTGAGCCTGCGCGTCCAGAGCCTGTGCTCTGCAACAGGAGAGGCCACAACAGTGAGAGGCCCGCGTACCGCAAAAAAAAATAATAATAATAAAAATAAATAAATAAATAAATAAAATGAAATAAGATTGTCACAGGAACCCCATGAGTTAGGCATTATCAATGCACTATTCAAATGAGGAAACAAGTTCAGACAATTTGTGTCTCTAGTGCAAGGCCACATAACTGGTGAGCTGCAGATTTGGGTTTGAACCCGGGTCTGTCTGATTCCACGGACCAAATTCCTAACTTCTACACTATTTTGCTTCCCAGTGATTTTTTTTTTTTCTTTACAGAAATCCTCCTGAATCACAAGGGTAGGTGCCTGACAAGGACACTGCAAACTTTTGTGCACTGCATGACCTGTACCATCACATGTGGCAGCCCTGATGGGGACACAAACAAGGAGGAGGTTGATTTGGGTGGTGTATGGACAGAGGGAGAAGGGGAGGTCTGAAATGAAGTGGAACTTTTGTTATTTTCCTGCTG